GGGAAACATTATGAAGTAGTGAATTTGATTCGAACCGAAAAGAGAGGAGGTCATCGGGAACCCTCGCTGGTTACTGTTTACCGCCCGAAAGTGTAACCCATGAAATATCGGATAATTTATCGACGGATATAATGTACCAAGGATCAATTGTCGGCAGATCAGATGTCAACAATACAATTCAGTAGTGCAGTGGTAAAACGGTACTGGTCAATAGTCAATTTTGACTATTGACCAGTTTTCAATGAATATCTCAAAATCTAATGGACACAGCAGAATTTTTACTATAAGCTTTTTTGTAGAGTCGATTGAGTGCTACAACAAATGTAATTATGAAAATTTCGCTATCTCCCTTAGATTCGGAAATATTCCTCAAAAACTCAACTGGAAGATAAGTCTACTTAAACCGTTTTACCACTTCGCTACTGAATTGTCGCTGGAAAAATTGTCTTCAGTTTTCTTTTCATTTGGGAATTTTGTCGCGAAAATTCAAACGTGGAAATTCTGTCCGCGGATCGAAAAGCGCGTTACGCTGGAACCTTCACACTCGTCAGAGATTTTTTTTCGGCNAAATCTAAGGGAGCAAAATTTTTGTTGATATGATCTTTTTTGTATCCAATCTACACATACCCATGAAGATGGGGGGGAGCGAGCGAAGAGAGCGGCGGGGCGGAGCCTCTCGGGGTTGGCGAGCGAAGCCAGTAGGGGGCGAAGCCCCTTAGTACGGTAATAGGTGTTTATTGCAAGGTTGAAAAATTTCATTATTTTTCGTTGTTGCAATTCAAATTTTGCATAGAGGGAAATAGGGAAAAGTTGAACGTTTGTTATTAATTCAAAGTAACAATATTTCTGTTCATACACTGATAGAATGATTCATTTATTCCAAACGAAATTCGTTAACTATTAACGAATGGTAGAGTTGAATATGACCAAATGAATATTCGTTAATAGTTAACGAATGGTTCACTTGAATGGCGAAAGTCAAGTCAAACAAGCCTCCTCAAATATACATTCGTTAACTATTAACGAATGAACATTTGGTGGGACCGAATAGACCCTAACCTCCAACCAAAATCCATTCATTAACAATAACTAATCCGTTCTATCAGTGTAAATGAAGATATCAAGAGTAGATCTTACATGAATTTTTATAAAAATTGTCGTCTCAACTTCCGGTCTTAAGAATGTACTACACTCTTTCGGCCAAAATTCACGTTGTTTTTCATTGCTCTGGCAAATTATTCATTGGATTGACGCGAAATAATATACCATTATCATTATTGACTGACCCATGAAGGTTCATGGTAGTGCAATCATTTTCCTGCATTTTTTCTAAAGTTTTGTGAATTCCCGAAAAGTTTTAGAAAATACGCAGGAAAATGATTGCACGATCGTGAAATTTCGTAATTAAGTAATGATAAAATGCAAGAACAGTATTTTTTTTCACGTCAATCTGATCAATAATTAACTAGAAAAATTCAAAAAACCTGAATTTTCGCGCAAAGGGTGTAATACATCCTTAAATAATTGATGTTTCGTTCATCTTGAGGATTTAAGACGCGTTGAAATCGCTATAATGACGTTGCAAGGGTGGTCGAAAGCGGGGCCAATCACAGAGTGGCTCGAGTCAACCTAACTCAATTTGCAATCGCAGCGTAGATGTGAGAGTCACCAAGTGGACTCTAAACTAACTGCGCTTGGGTGGCAACCAATGAAATCACTGGGAGCGAACCAATGAAAGGGGCCCATCAATGAGATCACTGGGTTCTCTGTGACGACTCCCACATCGACGTTGCGATCGCGAATCTTCACGTGCACTTCATCCAATGGATGACAGCGACTCCCCTCTCTCCACACGTTTAACCAATAGAGCGCTTCCCAGCATTACTTATTCCGCTTGTGACGGCGTGACTAAAATAATAGGTTTCAAGAATGTCTGATTTTCAATCAATTATTATAAAATATCTACCCAATATTTCTCATTAATTCTTTTCAGTTAGTTGTCTATTATGGGTTATGTAGAATGGGTGAACAGGGGAAATAGGGAAAATTGAATTCCACGCAAGTTCTCTATTTAAGGTGTGTCGTGCGAAAAAGTTAAATAATGACATTTATCTGGAATTCATGTACAATGTTCATAATCGCAATTGAATTGTCTATGAATTTTCGTAGAATTTTTTCAGACTTCTTTTTCAAGGTTTTAACAATTGAAATCGCTTCTTATATATAGGGCCTTATGGCATTTTTCTGTTTTAGACGAAACTGCGTTACCATTCCAGCTGATAATATAGTTTCATGCTAAACAGAAAAATCTCCATAAGAGCTCATGTATAAGAACCAACTTTAATCGTTAATAACTTGAAAAAGGAATCTGAAAAAATTCTGGAAAAATTCATAGATAATTGAATTCTCATTATAAACATTCTGTATGAATTTCAGCTTAATGTCATTATTTACCTTTTTCGCACGAAACACGGTCACTTTGCCCCGCTTTCCTCTGTATAATAAGATTTATTTTTAAAAATTGACTCATCCTTTTCTCCTCGATTTTCACAAATAATTGACTTCATAATCTATTCTTCATAATCTATTTTTTCAGCACATCGGTGAAATGGGATCAGGAAATAAGGGAAAGTTCAATGAAAACACCCCGGTAATTTTTTAAATATTTTCCTTTACTCCTAAACTCTCGAAAAAAAATTTCTCATCCTCACATCAGTAATCCTGCCATTCTGTAGGATTTTATTCGCGTGAATACATAAAAATAATGGATATTTACAAATGTAGAATAGCGTTAGGCACTCAATGAAAATAAACAAACAAAGAAATGCAAAATTAGGGAAATCGTTCGACATCTTCATTTAATTCAATTGATGATGTGATTTAGAACGTCAATTTTGTTTCTAAATTCACAAAAATAATTTGAAAAATTCAATGTACTATCTCGGCCCGAGGTGAACGTTGCAGCAGTGACAAAAAATATTTTTTTACTCGTGGAAGATGTGTAACGCTCGCCTGAGGTGAGTGCTCCCCCTCTCAAGGGTCAAAGAACACTTTTCCCACGACTGTCGCACCCTACGTTCCATCACGTGTGGAAAATGTGATTTCGCCCACATTTTCACTTTGCGCACTAGTGGTGAAAATAAATTTTATTAATTATATCAATTGGTGAAACAAACATGGTAATGAATTAAATTCAGAATTGTATGAGATTTTCTTCTCATATCTTTTGTCCTTTTTCCTCGTCGCAATCCTTTTTCCAATGACAATGCTATTGTGGAATGTTCAAGGTCATGCGCACATAATTACGTTTCCGTTTGCTTCTCGCTCCGTTCCCTTGATTTCGCAATAAGTTTCGATTGTGCCTTCCGTGAATTTGTTTTTCTTGTTCATTTTGTACAATAAAAATTATAAGTATCTTCACCATAGTTTCAACTCTTCATTCACATTCGAATGGAGAAATTGAACTGTTAATAATGAATTTTTCAATTCACAATTGATGTTCTCAATTAAAATCGAAGAAAAGATTCGAAAATTTGAACATTAAATATCCAGAGGAATCATTAATTCTCATAATTTTGTTCTCCAGTCACTCTGGATGTCTAACGTGACAATTTTCTTATGAATTCTTCGAATTTCATCTAAAATTGGCGAAAAAATCAACAGAATAAAAATGAAATTTTCTATTTTGATTTTTCTTTAAACTAGTATTTTTCAATCAATTCTCGTACACTTGACTGGCCCTTGTACTCAATATCTCACTCGAGCATTTGATTTATCTTCCTGATTATGAAAGGAAGGACACTGTGTCCCACGTGACAATCGATTTACCCTCAATTCAAAATGTGAATTCAAGGCTCAATAGTTTTCAACTTAAAATTGTTTCTCACAATTTTATTCCTTCTTCATTACTGACTGACGTGCAAATTCAGTGATTCACGAGGTATAAAAATTATGTTTGAATCGTCTTCACACGTCCTGCAATATATCTTACGTCATTGACTACTGACGACGTACAAAATGACCAAGTCCCATATTTTAAATAACTCCATCTTCTATTTTTGTTCGATTCCTTCGAACTCAATGTTTCTGTATAATATATATTTGTATTGATATTATCTTACTAATTGGTAGACTTAGGAATCCCCTGGTACAACTCGTACTGAATTAATAGTTATGAATTATCAGTTTTTCATGGTTGAGATGTCGAAAAAAAAACAAATATATCGGTTGTTGGGTGGAATGAAGGGAAATGTTTCGAGGACAATTCCATTTCAATATTGACAAACTTTTTTTAATTTTCTCACTAATTCACTGGCAGAAAAAGAAGTCAGAATTAGAAGAATGGAATTTGATTTTCTATGAAGGGGAGATCGCACTAAAATTTTAAAATCGCAAGGGCCGATTTATCGCTGCTGAGGGGTTTACCATTTTAGTTTTAATGTAAAAAATAAGAAATAATTAGATTTCGATTTTTTGCAGGATTTTTCTCACTGTATTCTGAATATATGATTCGAAAAATCTGAAAAAATGCTACTTGCTTTATAATGATTTATGATGGAATTGAATATTAATATTTTTCAAATTTTTCATCTCAGCGAATTTTGAGAAAAAGTTCTCAAAACTCAAAAAGTATAAATTAAAAAAAAATGTCATTTAGTTTTGTTTATGTACGTAATATGTATATGTGAATCAATATTTAAGGATATCCAGGTGTTTTTAAGTGTTTGGTATAGATCACACTGTAGATTCAACCATTTTGAATCATCAAATTTGTCAATTACATTATATTTTGCACAGAGTCATTTTTTTAAACATTCTTTGTTTGTAAATAAATAATTGAAATTATTTAAACTTTCGGAAACCATTTTCTTTTACATGAAATAAATTTCTGATAAAACTCAGAATGTGAATAAATTTGTTACGAGTCCAAACAAATGATTTTTATGGCAGAAAATTGATTGTTTATAAATTATTTATAAAAAATGCTCATAATTTTCAAAAACTATAATTTTGAAATTATTTTATCAATCGCCCAACAAAAGTAAACTTTCATTTTTTTCAGATTTCTAAAATGTTTTCTACCTGTTCAATCTCGAGATTTAAATTCAAATCTGCAAAGTCTAAATAATAAAATCATCGTAAAACAAATAAAAGTTTAAACAATAAAATCATTGTAAATCATTGTCAATTAGGGCTCAAATAAAAGTTGTGGGCTTCGCCTACAAAAGTAGAAAAATCTTTCACAAAAATAAAAAAAACATTTTTACAAAAATAGCCAAAGTACTCAGATATCCCTAAGTCAACCGGTTAAGAATTCCACCACGTGAAGATTTTATTCCTCTAACGCCTCATTATGATCAAGGAAAAAATAAAAACTCAAATGAATTCTATTTTTCCACATTAAAACCGAAAAAACAAACTCATCAGCACAATAGACGAAGGCACCTGCGGCGGATTCATTATCTCCTCATTCCACTCAACTCCAAAAATAGTATTCCAACATGTGCTTGGGCAATGACAGGTCTTTCTCCCATTCTTTCCCCACATTCTTATCGTACAAATTACAATTATTAATAGTAGACTTTGGGTGCAAGAGCCGTTGCGTCTATTCGAACACAAAAAAAAATTATCACTAGTAATTGTTGTGACGAAAACACGATTATTGTTTGATTTCCATTGACATTTGTACAATTTATACATTTGATCGTGATATTGATATGGTCCTATGTTCTCTCGAATTTTTACATTTTTCTACAGCTCTGTTACCAGCAGATCTCCATTTTCCATCGGAAAAAAAACATTGAATGAAAAAACAAGTTCCATAGAAAATCAGTGGAAAAAATTTCGTTCACATATCGGTGAAACGTCTTAAATTGTTTCCTGAGGTCACTAGGTGTACTCTGACTTATTGTGGAAATTATTTCGGTGCATTCTCGGCCCTTACCCCCTCGATAATATCACAGATGAATGAGTTTCCGTGTTGTGCGTTATGCATCGCTATCTAAGATTCCTAACAAGTGCATTAATCCTCTCGATTTTGTCGCTCAGCAATCTTCTCTCGTTGTCGAGTGCCTGTCTCGTTGCCAGCAATTCGTATCTCACTCTCTCCAGTTGAATAGCCTCCGAGCGCAGGGAATTCGATTGGGATATCAACTTCGACATTTGATTGGCCAGTATTTTTCTCTCTAATGATTTTCCTGTGAAGTCGAATTATACGCTTAATGTGGCACCAATAATCGTCTGCGTGTGGATAATTTTAATGTATTTTTATTATTATTATGTGGATTCATGGAAAATTTAATGTAATGTGACTGAAACCACAGAAATCGAAAATGAATTCACCACGTTAATTGAAATTGAATTGATTGGGAGTGAAATTCATGGAGATGAATTCATAAAACATTGCCGACATTTACCCCTCAATTATTAAATAATTATAGTCAAATTGATCGTAATAAATTTGTGAAATTGGTTCATGATAAACTAATGTACAAAAATTCAGTTAATAGAATAAAACGAAATAAATAAATTAAATTTGCAAAGAGTTGTGGTTTTACCCACATTCCCTTTTATAATTAAATTATTGAAATTGTTCAAACATTAAAACATCTTATGTTTTTTTGCATCAAGTCGATTTCATTTGTAGGGAAAAAGCATTATTCTCTTTAAAAATTGTAATTTTCCAATTATTTTATGAAAGACTTTCTTTGGATTTGTTCAATTATGTCTCATTGTTCAAAACAGAGAATCAAATTCAGACATTCATAATTAACTATTAATGTTGAAAAGGGTTTTAACAAAAAAAAATCAAAAGGTTTTCCAAAAAAGGTAAAATGGAAATTTGGAAACACATCATTCGTTCTGCGTGACAGTAGTGCAATATTTTTCTTGCAATCAAATAATTTCCATAATCATAAATAAAATATTACCTTTAGAATATTCGTTGTAAGCAATCATAATATCCTCAATACCTCTCCACGTAAAGTTGTTCCTCATTTCCTCGTGCTCATCACAATTCTCGTGAATTTCAATGAGTTTACACGGTTGTTTAATTCCATTCTCCCCTCGCACGGGTAATATCGGATGACACGTGGAATGAATATCTGGTACAAGGGGGGGTAGTGGGGGTGGTCTCTCTGGCACTGACTTGACTTTGATGCGATCCAGGAGACGCATTTTTTGGAAGGGCTTGGGAGATGCTGGCGGCGTCTTTGAATATACTTTTGCTAGTCGTTCGCAGTACGCTGTCACTGAGTTTGTCGTCTTACGTTTTTTTCTGTCTTTGAGGACGTATTGCCAGGTTTCTTCCGCTTCTGAAATTCGAAATATTAGAAACATTAGAAGGGTATTTTGTGCGTTTGAACATTTAAGGATATCCAAATAAGGTAAATGATCCTACACTGATTGTAAGAGAAAAACGACAAAGTTCTCAAACAAGTCTTACATGCGCCAAGAAAATAGTTTTTTGAAAATTATCAAAAAAGGATTTTTTTGTGCCAAACATGCAGAGAGTGCACCGGAATGAAAAATTTCTGTCGCAAAAATAGATTTAATAGATTTAGTAGCCAAATATTTCGTTGTTGTCGAAAGCAGAACAATTACTTATGTTTGAGACTTTCAAATTCGAACAGAACAAATTCTTTTTTGGCAATTTTCAACTACCGATTTTGGTGGCCCAAACAAGACATCCAAATAAGACAAACAAGACATTTTTATTTTGTTTGACAACGGATTTGGTTTTTCTCTCAGTGTGCGTTCGTGTAGCTAAACTGAGCACATCATTAGTCCAATATTTCTATTAAAATGTGTATAAAGATGCGATGTTTTGAAGGAGATATGAGAAGGTAAAACCTTCAGAATTTGAATTTACTTATATTAATCACGATAATTGCTATTTTTTAATAAATATGTCCCGTTTAAACATGGATATCCTTAATAGAATTCTGATAGAATTCTTCAGTTGAGATATCTTTTTCCGTGGAGAATGATTCTTCCGTTTGTCATCAACATCAAATACAAAATTATGAATAAATTATAAACGAAAAATTACCATCTCTTCTGTTCGGTGGCATGAGGTCTAAACCGATGGTCTTCAAAAATCCAACTTTCGGCATGAAGTCGGAGGAATTGAGCAATACATCTGGATGATCCTTCGGTATTGGGAGAACTGACTCAATTATCGGTTCCGAAGTGTCCAGGGGCACCTCTGGAGGTTCGGGATTCAATCGATATCTCTTCTCCAATTTACATAATTCAATTTCTGCGAAAATGATATAATTATTCATTGCATTGATTTTTTAATATTTCAAACAATAAACGCTCACTATTTTTAGAATTCCCGAGAGAATATGGAGACATTGATTACTTATTCTCTTCTATGTCCACTAGTAACGAAAAAATTGGGGAATTCTAGGGAATGGATGGAATGAATCTATTTTTTTTCGAATGTAGGTACACTGTTAGGAAAACAATGAAATTTCATGGACAATTGACTACTAATTTTCAGGACAGTGACACTGAATGCGATTTAGGGGGAAAAAACATGAAACTTTAGGTTTCACTGAAAATTTAGTAAAATTCCAAAATTTTAAGCAGCAGAAAAACGAGAATTCCTTAATTTATTTGAATTTCCAATCTAATGTGTATATTCAGTGCCAAATTACATTGAATTTTCAGTGAAATCTCAATTTTCATGATTTTTCACTCTAAATCGCATTCAGTGTCACTCCTGAAATTTCAAGGATATATTTACCGGAATTTTCTGCTTTTCTGTTCTTTTTCAGGGAAAAATGGAACTGAAATTTGCAGTTCTCTTTGATTTTTCCACGAAATTCTGAATTTTCAATGACGACATCCTCGAAGTTTCAGTGGTAATTAAATTTAAAAAAAAAAATTCCAAAATGTGTACCGGAAATTTCAGACAAAATTTTTTAACTGTGTATTGTTAAGCCACATCAATCGCCGTTAATTGAAATTCAATTCATCGATTAGTTTTTTTAATTTTTGAATTTTTTCGAAAATCGGTTGNGAAAATTCAAACGTGGAAATTCTGTCCGCGGATCGAAAAGCGCGTTACGCTGGAACCTTCACACTCGTCAGAGATTTTTTTTCGGCCTTGTGACGAAATAGTATATTTCGTCATTAGGCGGAAGAAAACTTTTCTGGCGACGCGGAGCGTCCGTGAAACGCTGCCTTACAGCCGGAATGACAAAAAAGTATTGAAAATCAAGTTTGCTTCACGACTGCTTGATTTGTTCGCGAACTTTTCCCCAACTTTTTTTTCCGTGGGAAAATCCATAATTCAATCTTCAACAATATGTGAAAATTGATTTATTTTATCCCATCACGTTCGACTTCTCCACAACTAAATCAATTCCTCAATGAGTAGAAGCACCTACAAAAAATTTCCAAGAGAACCCAAAGAAATGACAAGTCTGCATTCATCTCAAAATTAATTTATTTCTGTTGGAAAAAACCATACTCCTCGCATTACATAAAAGAAGACGCCATCCCCAAAATTTACATAAACTATTTTGCAATGGATTTGGACAAATTATTACACCAATTTTATTTCTATATATACCCTCCCAATATCTGTCATTTTTCAATGAAATTAATGAATACATATTTTCTCTTAGAATTTCACATGCCGTCCACTGAAGGTGAAATTGCACCAGCCAAACTCTCCGACCACCCATTGGACACCACAATGCTCCCTCCAATATCATTTATCAACTAAGTCACTATTAAAATGATTTATCATTTTTTTCGATCACTTAAGATTCTACGCACAATGATAGAACACGTAAACCTGAGTTTAATTAAAACTTTCCTGGCCATTGAAAATACTAATCACTCGATTCCATCGTGAATCAATTGGTTTTAACGGTTTAACGACCATTTGATTTATTTTTCACTTGACTTAAGATTAACTGGAGAGAATAAAATACGTGGACAACAAAATGAGGAGATAAAATCATTATTACTTGGAATAATAAACTAAAGTGCTCTCATTGTGCGCAATTAAACTATATAATCTACCTACATACTCTTAGATTGATTACGTAAAAGGAAGTACATTTTGAGCCCATGGGGTTGATTAATCATCAATTAAGGATTAATGACATTTGGCCATTGATTTTTGGTAGCTTAATGCTCATGTGAAGATTAAGTGATAAATCATGACCATGGGGAAGATAAAAGCAACAAAATGGTGACACTAGATTCAGAGGAAGAAAAAATCATGGATTAAGCACTTGTCGTGATATTCGCTACACGTACGACAAATTTTTATAGAAACACTTAGCGCATTTGTTAGGAAATTCAGTAGACTTTATATTGATTTTTCGCTGATGCTATTGAAAAATTCCACAGGTTGTCCGTTCGTTTTCTTTCACGGAATAAAAAATGCTGAATAGAAAAAATGAATAGGTTTTGGTTTTCTCGTATTACTTATACCGTTGAGACATTTCCTATAAAAATTTCTCAATACAAATTCCCTAATTCTCCTTTCACTCCTTTTTTCTTCCAAGATTGAAATTTCGAGCAAAAACATTTGAAAAATTCAAACTGAGGAATTCTTATAGAAACACCTCAACAGATTGAGTTGTGTGTAAAGATAAAAATCTATTGATATATTCTCTAAAATGTTAGCTATTGAACATTTCTACTTGAGAAAATGTCCAGAAAAGCTGCGGAATATTTCAATAGAACTGCAGTAGAATTGCTAGTCAATGCGTTTGGTTTTGCTATGAAATTTTTTCATACGTGTTTTTACCTTTTGGTGAAATTTCGTGTGCCTTTCGATTAATCATTAATGTGCATACATAATAAGCTCTAGTCGTGATAACAATATACATATCAACAATATTTATCTTTTTCCACCTACATTAGTCCGTGGCAAATTGATCATTTAATATAACTTTTTTTTTGTCATTTGTAGAAATTTTTGTATGAAAAATATCGTTACTCATCGTTCGTGGTTATTTACTTTTTTTTTACGTTAACTCATATTTCCCACTTGGGATTTGCTTCATCGTCTGCTATTCTCAGCTATGCCGAGATGAATCTCGTGAGATTATTCATCCTCATTTTGATTATTTAGTTAAAGGCCCTGCGGTGTCAGATATTCGTTAATTATCAAATATTGACCCCTTTTAATATTCTGATAATTCATGAGCAATTCCAAGTACTTTCGATATCATCCCTTAGAATAAATATTAATCGTGTCATGAAGAGAATTTAGTGTCTGAAATTATCTGATAATTAGTCATCCTCATCGAGGCTGGAAGAACGTTAATTCATCGCTGAAGAGGAAATTCATTTGAGTGGAAAAATATTGTAACTTCTCAATAAAACCCCTAAAACGCATCCCCCAATGAATATCTCATCGTCCATCAAAACGACCATTTTCCCCACATGAATAAATCTTCCCCTAACCCAATAATTCTCCGAACCCGCCATCAACAACCATCGCTTAAAAAAGGAAAATAATTTTCCACTATAAAACCCTAAAATATCACTAAAAACCCGCAATGATATTGTCCTCAATCGAATATACAATTTCAATAAGTTTAACATAATTTGTTCGAACCAGAGTCTGAGGCATCGAGAAAAGCTCAAGCAGAGAGATAACGAGAAAGAGAGAGAAAAGACACTTCAACAATTTGAAAAACCTGACAAAAAACCATCAAAAAGTTTTTATCACAATTATTCATTTAATACAATTAATACTTAGGGTCCATTTGAGCTTTCGTCAAGGCACTCTGTTGCTCTGTGATCGATTAAGTGCAAATGAAGCCCTCTTAACGAACCATCACGTGAGCTTGCCCTTATTCTTCCTGAAGCCAGGAAAATGTAGCTTTCTACGACGTCTCTTGAGCTCATCATTGTCAGCTGTTGAATTTGAGTCTGTTGACAGTGTCTCATCGTCGACTGTTGGTAATTCCCTCAGTGTTTTCCTTGTCTTTCTCTCAGACAAGTCAAGGGAATTATCTGATAATGATGTTTTTGATAATCCCAGGGAAATTTTTGCCTCGTCGTACGTCATACTCGTCGCTTCTTGACTTAATGATCTCGTCATACCCGTTTTCTCTTTTGTCACTGGTCTCGAGGGAATTGGAGGAACTACGTCATCATCACCAACGGTGAATTGCACCTCTGGCGGTGTGTCCTTGCCAGTTTCACTGCTTGATGAATCTGGAGGGGCTGATGACTCTTTCCATGTCAAACTCTCCAGCATACCTGGAACAAAATTTTTCTCTGGATATTGCAGGATTGTTTGTTCTGAATGAAAAAAAACATTGACAATGAATAAATCTTAAAATACATTTATTTGTAGTTTCTTCAATCACGTCATAAATATCACGTCTTCATTCAGTAGTTTATTTTGTTCGAGTTACGTGCAGGGCTAGGTTCATTGTTACTCATGCAACTAAAGCAACTACAGACTTAATTAATCGCAGTTTGTACTTGTAATATTTTGAGAATTGATTATTCGGTCAATTCTAGAAGACATTCTGCTTTATTTTGAATTGTTTTATGTGTTGTATAACATTGTGATTATTACATTGATTTTTTTAAGTTTATAGATAAGGAATTAATCTTTGTGATTCGTTACAAGTTTTTTTTACAAATAAGATTGTATTTGTACAGTGTAAAATTGTTAAAAATTTGAGTATAGTTTCTAGTATTTCTAACTTGGTGTCTCGCTTATTCTCGTGGAGATAACAGTTGTTGAAGAGTCAAGGCACTTTTTACTACACGTATACTTGGTAAAATAATGGAGAATTAACAATTATTCATTGACCACTGTGTCTTTTTTTCGTTTGATCGAGTAAATTATCTGAATAGTTATGACATTTTCTGTTGACCCTATGATGCCAATCTCAGCATCAATGCTGCTATTCTCTACTTATTACAATAATAATGTCCCTGATGTATACACAATAATTACTTAAATAAAAATTGAAGCGTCAATTAAATGAAATTGAAGAAAAAAGAAAGAAGTAAAGGGCAATTACAGGTGCATTATTGTCGGATCCTTCCTTGGCTCTGGAAGACTTGTCATTAAATGTATTTTTAAGTAATCGTTGTCATGAGCTTCTCGCAAGACCGAGGTTTCAAGAGAAATTTGTTGTTAACAAATGTGAGATTCTTCGTAATTTTAGGTGCGAGTGGAATAACACTATGTTGGATACACTTAGAAGTTAAGTATCGTTGAAACGGTGTAGAGTAATTGAAAAAATATGCCCGTGGAAACGTAATCATAAACAATAATTGTCATTGATGTAATTACAGCTAATGTTCCCCATTCAATTTTAATTGGAGAAGATAATAATCTTGTCTTCTATGTTTTTTTCCTACATTTTCTCTTCATTGTTATTTCAAAAAGAAAGATTCTTCGATTATGGAATAAATTCATTTTGCTAATTTGACTTTTTTATTTCTAACATTTTATGATACCAAAATATCAAATACTGAATTGTTCACTACAGCACCATGACTATAGCTAAAACACACATTAGTACGAAGTAATAAACCAATTAGTAATCTTTGGAAACAATAAATTTCAAGATTCCCAATAACAAGAGCCTCTACGAACTAGTAAACCCAAAAAAATAATACCGAATTACATCACAAGTGATTGTCTACATCAAATTTTATGGGCATGTTAATGTCAATGGATAAAATAGTGCTGTAGTTAAATAAAAGAAATCATGTAAACCAAAAATAAACTCAGTGGATTAAACAAGTAACATTGATTGTACATGTCCCGTCTACAGAGCTGTGTGCATGTGAAAGCTGTCGATGCCCCCATTATTCATTTTTCACAAATTCACATTGTAAAAAAATAGACAGTGGAGAGGATAAAACAAGTCTGGATACTGGTATTTACATAATTCGATAAAAACGATCAGGGTCAGTCAATCGGAGTGCTCATGGATGTCCAATTCCTGCTTACCTGCTGCGCCGGAGGTTGATGCTGCGTATAGGGAGCTCGCCTCATCGTCCAAGTCATCCTGACTACTCATTCGTCCTGTGGAAAATTGAAAATTGGGGAATTAAAATAAATTGAAGAAATAATTTATGCCTTAAGGATATCCAAGTATCTTTTACAGTTTGGTATAGAGCACACTATAGATTCAAGCATTTAAAGTCATTAAATTTTTCAATTAAATTGCGTGAGAAAAATTTCAAACAAATCGTGAGAATTTAGCGTCATCAAAATTACACTTTGCACAAAATTATAATTTTTTTAAACATTCGTTGTTTATAAATAAATCATTGAAATTGTCTAAACTTCCGGAAACCTTAGTTTTTTTAGGCAATAAATCGATTTCCAGTAAAATTCTGAATATGAATAAAATTGTTACGATTCCAAATAAATGGTGGAAATTCTTATGGTGGAAAATTTATTGTTTATAAATTACTTATAGAAAATGCTCGTAATTTTCAAAAATTGCAGTTTTTAAATGATTTCGTCGATCTTCTTTCAAACGTAAACCTTTCTAATTTTATTTTCAGATTTTTAAAATGTTTTCTAACGGTGCAATATCGCGATTCGAATTTAGACCTGCAAACTTTAAATAATAAAATCATTTTAAAATGTAGAAGTAGAAAAGCATTTGCGAAAAAATAACCAAAGTACTCGGATATTCTTAAAAACATCTAAGGTTGATCGAATAATAGCTCGGGGATAATACAGAAATGAAAATAATTTCTATATTATTACTATTAATTTTCCCTCGTTGCAGTTAATGTGAGAAGAATAGTTATGAAATTCTGATTTTATGTTAAAAATGCAGGAAAACTAAGGATTTTCAGACACGAAAAAATTTCATAGAAAACAGGAAACATTTTTATAACTAACCTAGACACGAATTTTCCATTTTTTTTCATGGTATTTTTTCTTTTTCTCATTAAAAAAATTAAAAAAGAAAATTTTAACAACTTAAGCCCCCTCATTTCCATAGAAATAATCTCAGTGTCTATTGATTTTTTCCATGTAATATTTGCTGCTGAGCATTCGCATTGAAAAAAAATACACGGAAAAGCTGTGGAATTTTTCAATAAAAATTTAATAAAATTGTCCAGTGAAAGCCCCACAACGCTCTCCAAATTTTTTCGTACATGTTGCAATTTCAAAATATGTGAGGCTTCAACAAAAACATGAATTTCAAAATGCATTATGAGAATTGAGCGTATATGAAACTTAATACTCAATTAGGGACCACGCAAATATTATGTCAGCATAGTTGGGGAGGGGGAGATGAGAAACTATGTCAATATGTGTTGCCAATATAGGGAATATGCTGACATAAACGGTAGAGACGGTGGAGGGGTTAAAATTTCAAAAAATTTGCTGATGAATACTCAAATGGCCCACATAAGACTCAATTAGAAAATAGTCGACTGAATTTTCATGATTTTTAAGCAGTTGTATCACTGAATCAAATTGAAATGAAAATTGACCATTAGGTCTCCTAAAATTGACTGATTTGGGTTTAAAAATTGAAGGTAATTTCATATAAAGCATTCTGTGCAGAAATTTTTCGATCACTGTACTTTATTCCAACCAATATTTCAACTACGTGAAGACCCTCAAGCTTGCGCGACATCTGTTCAATTGAACTGTACGTAAATGAGAAATAGTTCTGCACGTTTTATACTAATATTCATCAACATACTCCATACCCGAATGTAAAAAAAAGGTAACTGAAGTATGAAAAAAAAAAGAAAATGAAACAATCTAGTAGACGAGTATTTAAAATTCAGAGCAAACAAAATATCTCTCTGAACAAACTGGAAATGGAGACTACAATTTTCAATCCGGCAAGACTTTAATCTTGTTAGAATTGTTGAAAAATAACAAAAAAATGAATCAGTGTTCATCTCACCCCAGTTTCCTTTATAGAAAATTTCTTCAAATCTATATTTACCCCTGAACCCTAAACTTCGTCCATTTGGTGCTCCTCGATACAGAATGGTCTCCAGATAGTTTAATCCATTGTTATTAATAATATTGAACCCACAGAGTATTTCAATCTGCTTCCAACGATGAACTCTCTCTTGCAGCTCAGCTGTAACTTCATTCAAAGCTGTTCTGGCCTCCACAATGCTCTTGTCAACTTCATCAATAGACTTCCCATGAGTCGAAACAAATGCCCCCACAAGGCTAGATCTCTTCTTTCGTAATTTCTCACACTGCGAAGAAGAGAAATATTCCATAATGAAACATTCCCCCTTATCGTTAGAAATTCCAATGCGTCCATGAGCATTATTTTTAGGTTCAAAAGTTCTACATGTTCACCCAGGAACATCATAAATGCTCAGAGTTTATGGATCTCCCAAAATAAGATGAGGAATAAAATAAATATGGGAAAGTAAAATATGAATTACCGCTTCGCGAGCTTGTTGCAGTTGCTTCTCAGCTGCTATTTTCTTCTTTATGTATCCTTTATTCTCAATTTCGTGGGTCAGTTGGAGCCAGTGCTGGAGACCAACTGGTGGTGACCAGCAACGATCCTCTAGTTCTCCTTCTGCACGTTGAAGCTCCAATTTCAACATCTGTATAAGTAAGAAAATAGAAAAGTTGAAGTGGAGGAAGCTCTTTCCTTTTTTAGTATCACATGCACGGAGAAAAAAAGTTTCTAGTTTCCATTGGAAATATCTGGCTTTTAGAACACTGGGGCAGTAAAATTTAACGAGCAGAAAATCCTGTAAATGAGTGGAATTTTCACTCATTTGAAGAAAACTTTCCTAAAAATCAGGGAGGAAAGTTCTATTTTTCAGTTATTTTTACGTAAGTCTAATATGATTGTACGGAAATTAAAGCACATTTTCCTTCATTTAGAGGAAATTTTAGTTCTGGTATTCAGAGCTTCTGGTTTTTTACAATAAGAATCTTGAGATTCTGCGAACAAGAACATCCGGATTCTCAAATGAAGAACAGTCGCATTCTTGAATTGGCGATTTTTCCTATAATAAATCTATTTTCCTGAAATAAATCTACTTATGTTTATAACTTCTTTGTTATTCAAAGTATATTTTCTGACACCTTGACACAATTAATCCCCAATTAATGGTCAAGTATTCCAGAATGTTATTCCTTTTGGTGCTTACTTCAAGAGTACGGCGATTAAATTTTAAAGATTTCTTCTGAAATTAAGTATCCATTTTTTTATTCTCAGTACAATGCTTTCTAAGAATGGATTTTTCAACACCAGTAACTTGATTCTGAAAATGAGCAACTTTTTTTTTTGTATAAAAACATTCAGAGTGCTTATTCTCTCAATTCTTGAAAATTCCAGTCATTTTTGCTTCATCTCTGGTTTTGAGACAACTAAATTCCTCTAATGGACCCATTCGTGGAATATTTCATAGTTTCATCAAAAAACAAAAAGTGTTTGTAATGCCGTTTGATGGAAGTGTATTTTTTTCATCTCTCAAGTCTTCATTTCACATTTTTAATAAAATTTCGATAAAAATACAATGAGAAGACTTTTGTTTTTCTCCAAATGGACGCGAAATCGGAATAGAATTCTATCTAGATCGTTTCAATCTAGCGATGAAATGAAGATTAATGAAATTTCAATCAACTAATGTAATTCTATCCTACAAATGAAGATAAAAATGTAAACAAAAATATTACTTCGATCTCTTGCTTCAATTGAGACACCTCCAGGTCAGAATATGACGTATGCATTCCCATATTCTCACCCTGCAGCTTGGCCTCGAGTTTCTGTTTCTCGGTTGCTGCACTAGCCTGTTCCAATCTCGCCCTTTCAAGTTCTTTCTATAATTAAAATAATAAGTAAATAGACAAAGTTATATAGAAGTGATTAATGTAATTTTGTCATCAAATACGATGAATCTTCTCATTCTTTAGCTTGTAGTCTCAATCCATAAGAAAATAATAGCACAAGCCTCATATATGATTAATTACGCAAATACAAATAAGATAAGAGTATAGTCAAAGAAGAACACACCCACCAGACTTAACAACTGTGTCCTATAAATTACAAATGCAAATAAAGCACACCTGCAAGTCCTCCAGCGCAAGTTCAGCTTTGTGGAGGCCCTCCATGTCCTTCATCATCCTCTTCAGGTGTTTCTGGGAGCTCTTCTTCTGCTGATAAGCGTACCAGCAGCCAATCAAGGCTCCAAATAGTAAAGTTATGAGTATCAAATCCTTAATGCTGTGTCCAGTATCTGAAAATTAATCGAAAACAATCAATAACACGCGAGAAAATCGTAAAGAACTCGTGACCAACATCTCAAACTAATTTTAGTACTAAAATGTATAATTACCCTTTGGTGGTCCAAATAAAACTACATCCATAGCTTTTAAGGCAATCTTTTGTTTATGAATTGGATCTTTAATCCCAAGAACATTACTGAGATAATGCATATTATTCACAGCCAATCTGAAGCAAAAGAAATCAGAAAATGAATGATAAAAATCCACAATCATGAATAATTAAGGGTATCCCTATAAAACAGGCCTTTCTTACGATAGTTTCCACGTTTTTCGTGAATAATTTTTATAATATTCTCCAGCTATTGAAAAAATAATGAAATGGGGGCCTCTAACACGTGGGACTCGATTCTTCCATCTTATGAGAAAATGGTTCTTACGATGTTCTTAAAAAATGAATCCATAATAGATTTGACAAATTCCGAAATTCGTGAATATTTTCGTGAAATAATTTGTTCGATTCTAACAGTTATTGTTGCCTTCATCAACAACATATGGGAATAGAAAAAATCAACAACTTATGAGAATGCCATAAATTAAGTAATTTAGAATTTTTTCCGGAAATTGACAGGGACTAATTTTTGCATGGGATTGTTTTAAGACAGACCTTAACGTTAGAATCATTGAATCTTGATGAAAAACTCACCTAGGAAGAGTAGCACCAGTGACACGATGTTGTATAAAATTAGGAACGTATTGTGGAAGCTCAACATTAGTAGTAAGCCATTCAGAAGTCTGTTCAATCGTCCAATTGTGCACTTCAGATCTCAGCCAGGCCTCCCATAGCTCCCTAACACTAATGTGCATGTCATCATTGTGATGGAAGGCACGTTGTCGTCTCTCGTAACCTGCCTCGTACTGCAGCTCTTCCCTTAGAAACTAAAAACCATCGAAACAAAGATATAAATCATCTTCATGTCAAACACAAATCAACCAGGATTCCCGAGAACCCTCATCCTGTTAAAGCACTCGATAACTGAATTAATTGAAAGCAAACAATGACAGTTCAAGTGAAATACATTACATCATCGGACTCGGACAGATCAACGTCGCCATCAGCATCATCGTCCAGTTGACTGTGTAGGGACTTAATCGCCTCAAGACCAAGACGATCGTGTGATGCCATGGTTATACACGCCAAATCATCATTGCATGTCTCAACACCTGTAAAAGTCATTAACAAAGATAATGATCCACCAACAATTATCCACTGTAATCAAGATAAGAGAGATAAATACCCAAGATCTGTTGCTTATTAGACTGGGCACTGTCATGTGCAACGGCCTGAGCAATTCCATCAGTGAGTGATGCTGAAAATTTTGGTGAACCTTTTGATCCATCACTCGAGCGTGGCTGATAACCAGTACTTGCATCTAGTGCACCACCACTAGCAACAACCTCAGCAAAGCAGAGGCACAACAGTCGAAGACCATAGATCACGATTAATTCGACATTCGCCACTGATCGCATCTCTCAAGTTAACCTTAACTCAAGTAGATTTTTATTTGTATTATAATGAGAACGACTTTAATCCTCAATTTGTTTGGGATTATTCGCGACCTTTGGGAAGACAAGTGTTGTGATAATTTATCACGATTCAGTTGGGGGGCCACTGCACTCGACAATTTTCACACCTCAAGAACAATATCTCAGCGACTATTAATGGTTTATTTGTTCCGGGAAACACTTTGGATTAATGTTTAATCAATTCTATGAGTTTATTCTGGAGATGTAAACCGTGTGGGCTCTTCTTCCTCGTCGTATGATTTTCCTGATTGCCCCATCAAGACCCCCTTGTTTTGATTCAATTGACTTTACTTTTAGTGCTAAAAGTTTAATGAAATATTTATTGATTATTCGGCTTTTACGGTCTTGATGATTTTAGGATTTATGCAAAATTATTTCAGCGAATTATTTCAATTATCAATCCTCTTTTTAATTAAGTACACTTGGCTTTGGGCACGACGAATGAGGGGAATCAGATGTTTCTATCAAGGCCACCGACACTACCACCACGAGCAAACGCGGAGGATGAAGAAAAGGGGAAAAAAGACATAAAAAAAATTATCATGGATTATGTTGGACCAGCCGAGGTGGCACACTTCGTACTTGGCTTCTCAAATATCATCGCCATTTTGGATTTCGTTGAGGCGGTACTGTCTTCCGCTTTTCAATTTTTCCGTTCAATCGTTCTTCTCAATTACAATTAATAAGTTATTTATTGTATCTAATCAACTCTTCTTGAAGATGAACGAAAAATTATCGAGATGAAATTAATTACGAAAGGTGAAACTATCTGGAATTCGGGAAATTCAGTTTTCGAGTTTTATATGATTCCGAGGTTAGAATACCCTCTGAAACAAAAATGGCGACTTCCGTTCGCCAAATTTGAGTGTCTGAACCAACAAAGTTAGAGAAACATAAATCTATCCTTATCGGATTGTCCCTGTGAGTGTAAATATTTGTCACAATAATGGATATAACCTTACCTCTACAAATGACCCGAATTCAGTACAAATCACGTCATAATTATCGCGATTTAATAATAGAAGTAATTGAAATTGAACGTGTCGAGAGAGAGGAGCGCGGATAGGTTAGGCTAGTATTAGATTGCATCGACAGTGTTAAATAGCTTCAATTACGAATAATACTGCAACAGCAATCGCTTGTTTACATGAACCGGTTGCGAGTATTAGTGGGATGATTCATCATCGTAGAATTTAATGTCTCTAATTCATTCTGACGGAAAAATTAATCTTCGTCTGAGCCTTCACAACAATTTCAAGGGAAAATCCTCCAGGATTGAATGAGTAAATTTTTTTCGCATAATAAATATAATTCTCAATTTGAGAATTATATTTTTGTTGAATTTTAATGACTGAGGAGACAAATTATTTTGTTTCGACTTTTTGTGATCATGTCCATCGAGTGTATGAGATTGTGAAAAAGTCGATCCATTTTTGACGTATGAAGAAGCCGGCACAACAAGTGACACCATTCAAAAACCTTTGGACTCCATATTTACATCGTGAATGGTCACGTGGACCCAATGGTTCATCCAATGAGAGCTTCTCCCCTGTGTTTTGCTGCCGAATGAACAGACCCGAGCTGAACTCGAGTTGTTTACATGGAAGATAATTCTGTTGACAGCCATACGTGAGTTGAAAATTCCCTCGACAATGTTGACATTCCCATAAAACTAGCTATTGTCGATACATGAATGGGAATTTCGTGGAAAATGTGCTTGTGAGCTATTTTAGTAATTCCTCAAATCAAATTCTGAAGATAATGGAAAGCCAGAGAGACGACGACACTCAGGTGCCCATACCCTTGAAGAAAGACGAAATCACCCCATCATCTAGCGACAAGCCAATGGATTCGAAGAATTCTCAGGCGAAAATTGCCAGGGGTACGAAGAAGATGAGAATTGACTCCACAGACTCCAACCAACCTGCAGAGAAAAAAGGTAACAATGTCTGGATGTATTTAACCCCAAATTTGAATCAAAAATCATTCCTTCGTCATTTGATAATTGTTTTGATTGCTTTGGTTTGATTAAACGATTCGGTTTTTCGTGGATTTTCGGTTTATCGATTCATCACGTAGCAAAAACTTTAATAGAAGATTCTAGCGCATTCCCTAGGAAGTTATATTAGTTCTTTGTGAATTCCTGAGCTTTTCGCAGATTTTTTTTTACAGAAACATGAAATTTATAGATATTCCTATACAATTTTTTTCAAATTTCTTCGAAGGAAAATTTTGAGTTGAATTTTCAATTTTTTGTACTCTTTTTTAAATCGTATTCTATTGAAAAACGGAAAGAAATCAACTATGGAAGTTTATGCCGAGAAAATTTGATAGAAAAGATATCAACAAAGTTTTTTTAATAAAAATGTAAACATCTTTTGGATTTCGTATTCAAAACAGGGCTTGATAAAATTGCAAAATTTTCAATTGAAGTGATAACAAAATGATTTTAAGTTTGCCGACGTATTGACCTCTATTTCAGGTCCAACTCAGGATAAACTTTTCGATACAATTTTGTTTTCATATTTCTTTGAAAGAAAATTTTCGGGTGGAATTTTGTAGTTTTTTATACTGTTTTTCACTCGTTTTCTATTGAAAAATGGGAGGAAAAGATGACTGAGTTTATCATAAAAATATAAAAATCTTTTGGATTTTGAAGGCAATACAAGGGTCAAGAAAGTTGCAGAATTATCAGTGGAAGTGATTACAAAATAATTCTGCGTTTGTTGACGTTTTGACCGCTATTTCAAGTCCACAGAGTGTTGGTACAATGATAACCTGAAGGAGAAGTTACATTAGCTTTGTGTATTTCTATTGCAAATTCCGCAAGTTTTTTCTTTTTCACAAAAAGAAATTGATCAATTTTGCAGTATAAGTTATTTTATTCAGATTTCTTAGAAGGACAATTTTTGTGCGGAATTTTCTATTTTTTATACTGTTTGTTACTCGTCTTCTGTTAAAAAATGAAAGGATAGAAACTGAGGAAATTCATATCGAGGAAATTCGATAGGAAATATATCAAAAGGTTGAGTTTATTATAGAAATATAAAAATATTTCGGAGGTTCCATGCAAAACAAGGGTCGAGAAAGTTCCAGAACTTTCAATAGAAGTAATAACAAAACAATTTTACATTTGTTGACATTTTGACCTTTGGTTCAGGTTCACGTACCTCAGGTACCTCAGAGTGAAATGGTACAACTATAATCTGAAAGAAAAGTTATGTGCATACTTTCACATGAAAAAAATCCACTTTGTGCATCTAGTTTTTGAGATATTTTTGTTTCCGCAACTTCCATTTAAACCAATGTTAAACTATTTCGTTGATCTTCTGCAACGATGCCGTTTCCCACGCTATCCAGGTCTTTTTACGGAATGTTATCATTTTTATCGGAGAAAATAAATTTCTATTCCCAATTTCGCAGCTTTTTCGCGCATTTTTTTCAATGGATAAGTTCAATAATACATATTTTATCTGAATAATGAATAAAATTCCATTTTTCAATACAATCTACTTACTCTACTGAGATATTTTCTATATAAACTCTTCGGCTCAAATTTGCGAAGTTTTTTTTGTTTAATTTTTTTGTTAATGACAGAAAAAACAAATTGAGTGAAAAAAATTTGAAACTTTCACAGAGAAAAAAAGTTTCAATTTTCAGGAATCTATCACCAATTATTGGTGATACTGGACACTGACTGGAGTGACCTTGATTACCAGGCGATTTTTATCATGGAAATCTGGTGATAGATTCCGAAAAATTAGAGATGGGTACGTAAAAATTATTGATGGTGTCAACGAATTCCAGAATTTTGCACTCACTGAATTTCACCATCGCGAATCCCTAATAATTCGGGATAAATTCCTGAAAAGTACTGACCTGCCTGTGGAAATCAGTGAAATGTCCCTGAAAATCAAAACTTCATTTCTCTGTGTCCAGGAATTTCCATAGAAAATGTCTCAATAGGAAAAGTTTTATAAAAATATCAAATTCTATTGATTTTTTCTATAAAATGATTAATATTGGACATTTTCTAGTAAAACCGTGCAGTAAAGCTGCGGAATTTGCCATTTTCTATAAAAGTTCAATCAAATTTCCTAGCTTTCTCTATGCAATTGTCTCCTGCATTTTGTGTTCTGACTTATCTAATAATCCACACCTAATTGACATGAAGTATCCCCTAGCAAACCTATTTTTTCCACTCAACTACTTTTTCCCTGAGGCATTATTCCTTCAAGTACTCATGCATCCACACAAAGCCATCAAAACCATAAGCGCAAAATGAATCAATAAAACCTCCCTTCTCTTCCAGAGACCAAAGATGACGACGGGGACACAAAAATCGTGCGCTCCTTCAAGCGCTCCTGCGAGCTCTGGTCGCTAGAGGACAAGAACACCTTCTTCAAGGCAGTGAACGAATTCGGTAAAGACTTCGACGCCCTCCAAGCCTACTTCCTAGCCCAAGGTAAAAAGAAGGGCCTCCCAGAGACAATGATAAAGAACAAGGAACAAATCCGTCACTTCTACTATCGAACCTGGCTGAAGATCTCCAAGCACTTGAAGTTTTCCGAGGACGTGAAGAAAGCCAGTCAAGAGATCTACGGTTTAATAAACTATGGAGAACTCCGAAGAAAGCTTCCTCGAATTCACGAGAAAGTTCTACTGAAGCTCAACGAGCTGATCTTCTGGGGTTCAACGCAGGTTCGTCTACGTGGTAAAACCATGAGAATCAAAACCCCCATATGCAGAGCCCTGAGAAAGCTGAATCAGCTTGAGGACTGGCAGGAGGAGATAAAACTCCCCTCTAGAGTAACTGTTGAACTTCGCCCAGCGAACAATTCGACCTGGTGGGAGGTGCAGGCACACGCCATGAATCCACGAGTGAGGACACTCTTACCAATCCAACGAAGACTGTCAACCCTCCTAGGCTTCCTGCAGCAACGATGGAAGCCAGCTAAATACAGAATCTCCCCAAACTTGGAGAACGAAGTCCTGGACCAAAAGGACCCTAAACTACTGAGAGTGGCCCCTCAGGAGGGCACGAAGATCACTCTCCCCATGGTGAACCTCGGGGAATACCTCACCAGCAACAGTGTAAGCTTCAACTCTTACGAGGGACGTCTGGGGCTGAAATCGTCGAGAGTTGAACTGCTGGGTTCAGTCCAGCACCTGAAAGGAGGTGGTAAAAAGTCCATTAAGAAGAAAATGGACAAACGAGTCCTGAGTTTAACAGAGGAATGCCCAATGTCTCTATTGTATGGCAACAGTGATCTTGATGGGGCTGAGAGCAGTGTGAACCCAGAGAAGAGTCTCTTCGCTTCTCATCTGGAGAAGAATGCTGTGGAGATGTCGACAGAGCCTAATAGGTTTCCAGGGAGGGAGACAATCGAGAGGATTCGAGAGGGGTGGACTATTGACGAGGCGAACAGTATTACCGTTGGGGATTTGTTCCTGATGTTTGGGCGGGAAGGCAAGATCATTCTCGAGTATTGGTGGGACGTGCCTGGGGGCTCTGGGGGAGCCAGGGATCGAGCCAAGCAGGATGATGGACTGTGTCTTGCTTTGAAGAAACTTCTTTCCATTGCTAAACATAATTATGGGACGAGCAAGGTTTACGAGAATGCAGGGAGTAATGAGACTGTGATATCGTCGAGGGTACCTTCAGCCAAAGAGTCAACGTTCAGGCGACCACTGATACCCCAGCCATATCATCAGATTGGAAGTCATGACGCTTTTAAGACACAGTTGGATAAGTTTAAGACTAGGTTCAGTAAACGAGGAAGGACTGTCAGGCAGAGGAGTCTGATTGTACAGAGGGCTATTCCTGTGGTCGTGAGGCAGGAGGAGGTTCAGGAGAAGGAGGTGCAGATGGAGGTGGATGGGAGTGGGAATGCAAATGGGATTGAGATTGAGGGCAGTCCTGCGATCGAGTTGACCCAGCAACCTGCAGAATTTTTGACTGCACTTGGTGGTACTTCGGAAGCATCGAATTCCATCATCACTAGTGCTACACAGATACTGAAGGAGGGGGAGGGACAGTGGTTGAATAGCGAGGTTGCTGATTACTCGTTGAGTAGCTTTTTGGGACAGTTCGAGTCACCAGTTAAGGGGTCGCAGAGGAGCCAGGCTGGCATGAGTCTTGGGGACGGGCGACCTTCGTCTGATGTGAGTGTTACACTAATTCTTACACTAATGAGCATGAATATTATTGCAGGGAATGGCATGTTTTTGTTTCGTGGGATTTTTTTGTTGAGTTATCAATTGTTGTTTAGGAGATACAATTAACATTTCATAATAACATGGAGAAAAAAGTTTCGGGTTTCCAGCACCACGGTACTAAAGTCAAGAACCCTGGGTTCTTAAAATGAGAACCGTTGAAGGCATTCGAATATTGCCTCGTGCGATTGGGGCGTGGAGGAGGTTCTGTAATTTGTGATGTCACACCGTAATTAATGGAGATGATTTGGGGAATCAAAGATGCCAATTTATGAACTTGTCTTGATTTAAGTACCATAGTTACTGGATTTCAATAAAAATGACTGAGAACTAGAGCTTTTTCTCTGACTAAAACAGGACGTGCACTCACGTATGAAAAAATCCTATGGAGAATTCGAACATTTCCTATAGGATTTTTCTGGTGGGATTTCCCATAGGATTTCTTATAGGATTTGCTGTAGAATTCACTATAGGGTTTTCTATAGAAAGTAACACACAAAATTGAGACTCGAAAACAATTGGTCACAAGGGTCAGGATTAGGGTCATAAATCTGATAGGGAATCCTATAGGAAATGTTCGAATTCTCCATAGGATTTCCTATAGGAAATCCTATCAGAAAAATCCTATAGGAAATGTTCGAATTCTCCATAGGATTTCCTATAGGAAATCCTATCAGAAAAATCCTATAGGAAATGTTCGAATTCTCCATAGGATTTCCTATAGGAAATCCTATCAGAAAAATCCTATAGGAAATGTTCGAATTCTCCATAGGATTTCCTATAGGAAATCCTATCAGAAAAATCCTATAGGAAATGTTCGAATTCTCCATAGGATTTCCTATAGGAAATCCTATGGAGAATTCGAACATTTCCTATAGGATTTTTCTGGTGGGATTTCCCATAGGATTTCTTATAGGATTTGCTGTAGAATTCACTATAGGGTTTTCTATAGAAAGTAACACACAAAATTGAGACTCGAAAACAATTGGTCACAAGGGTCAGGATTAGGGTCATAAATCTGATAGGGAATCCTATAGGAAATCCTATCAGAAAAATCCTATAGGAAATGTTCGAATTCTCCATAGGATTTCCTATAGGAAATGCTATAGCATTTTTTCATACGTGCTTGGCGCGCAAGCTGTTTTCTATGGGTGCCGGAATAGTAAAACCCTACTGTTTCTCATTTTCATTAATTTTCATCTCAATAATAATGCAGGAAAAATGAATGGTTTCAGCAAAGTTTTCCACAACGAGAATTTAATTGTTGAATAATTTATTCGGAATCATCATAATCTTCTGTATCTTCTCCTTTGTTTCTCTTTTGCTTTTTGCGTTCGTTTTTTTAGGGATGTATTATGCACTATATACATATATAGTATCCTATATATTTTTTTTTCACAGAACTATATTAATTTTTTTATAGTTAAAAGAAATTACAGTATAAAACATATGTATATTATACATACTATGTATTATATAATATATACATATATACCATGTTATATATGTATTTTTTTATTACAGTAAGAAATAAATTTATCTTTTTTTACAATTTACAAAAGAAAAACGACTATTTGACGCAATTTAAGCGAAAAAAATTTTTTTATCATCTTTTGTTTATTAACTTTATTTTTCCTATTCGGAGTACTGATGAGAATAAGAATTTTCCAGTCGGCTTATAATTCAATTGATTAGATTAGGTCGATTGTACTCTTCTTTTTTTATTCGATTGAAATTCAGCATCACATTTTTCTTTTTTCTCCTCTGGGTGTCCCCCTGAGCCTTGCTCTGGACTTTGGATTTTGCTGTTTCACTTTCCTTTCAATTAATCCATTGACAAAATCTTCTCCCGTCAAAATTTCTCAATAATTTTCTATTCTACTGAATGGAAAAGTATTATTCTCATCAGTACTCCCAAGAATAAAAAAGAGTTAATAAGAAAAAGTTAATAAAAAAAAACATTCAATAAACAAAGTTTTTTTGTTTGAATTTGCTTCAAACTGTCGTTTTTTGAATGTTTCATTTTGCCCCACTCTTCCCGACATAAAAAATATACAGACATCATATTACACTGGATTTTTGAAAAATGGATTGCAGAAAAATTTCACAGGAATCCAGTACCTTTTGTCTCTGGATTCCAGTATTCTGTGATACTCGAAGCCAGAGACGATTTCTGGAAACGAGAAACTTTCTTTCTCCGTGAACAGTTTATAATTCTTATATTATCATGTTGGCGGAGTTGTCGATTTCAGTTGATATTGAAGAATGTAAATGTTATTTTATATCATTGCGAAAGAACATAATATTTTTATTTTTATGTGCAACGTTCACGTTGCCAAGGTTTTTTCAACGTTTACTTTGAAAGGTTTCAAGAAGAATTTGGTAACATTTTTTAGATATTTTATTAATGTAAATCCCTCGTTTTTTAAGTCAAATTACATGGATTTTACATTAATGGTAAACTTTAACGGAGCAATGAACACTAGGGGAGAGTGGGGCAAAATGAAACAGTCGAAAAACGACTGTTCGATGCAGTTCAAGCAAAACAAATTTTTTATCAACAATTTTTTTATTTTTGGGAGTACTGATGAGAATAAGATTCAGTGGAATAGGAAATTATTGAGAAATTTTGACAGGAGAAGATTTTGTCAATGAATTACTTGAAAAGAAAATGAAACAGCAAAATCCAAAGTCCAGAGGAAGGCCGAGGGGGAGACCCAAAGCGAGAAAAAGAAAAATGTGATGCTGAATTTCAATCGAATGAAAAAAGAAAAGTGTAATCGCCCTAATCTAATCAATTGAATTATAGATGAAATATTTCATATTACTTGAATAGAGAACTGTGGATAAAATTAGTGAAAATTATTAATATTGTCGTCTTGATATAAGAAATATATGAAAAACCTTCGGGAGTTTCGAATGAGGAGAGAACATGGACTGAGCGATGACGAGGTCTTAGTTTGGCTGCTGAAGAGTCAGGGGATAAGCTGACTAGTGGACGTTGAAATCAAAATCTAACAGGGGAGTGGGATTCATCTGTGGAAGTAGTCAATACACTATATAGAGGTTTCGGATATCACTGACTTTTTCGCACCGCATGTTCTTTTCTACCGAATACAAAATTATTATTCTCATCAGTACTCCCAACAATAAAAAAAATTTACAAAGAAAAGTTGATAACATTTTTTTTTTTTGCTTGAATTGCGTTAAATAGTCGTTTTTTGGTAGTTTCATTTTACGCCACTCTCCCCTATAACCAAAGGATTCAAGATTTCCGCTCTTGAACGTCTTGACTAGGAAATTCTATTTGAAATTTAATTTATTTTTAGTCGATCCTATTGAAAAATCTCGCACTTTTTCAGTGCATTTTTAAAAACAAATGTTTAATAAACAACATTTTCCAGAAAATTTAATAGATTTGGATGTTTGTATGGAAATCTCCCGGATTATTTTTTTTTAGCTATTTTGCGAGAATTTGTCCATCTCAGAAGGAAAAAAATGTAGTGCGGAAAAACTCGTAAATTCATGCCGACGAATTTCTGCCATGCCACTCACCATTGATATATTCCTCGTTTTCTAAAACTATAACCTATAAAAATCATTCACGAATTTACACGGACGAAAAAATTTAATAGAAAAACCTATCGAATTCGTAAAAAAATTCTATTGAATTTCTATTGAACTGTTCTATTAGTTTTTGGCGGATTCTATTAAAAGGTTCAATAGAAAATATTCAGTAGAAAAAGTCAATAGAATTCAATTTTTCTGTAGAACTTATTATATTGAGATATTTTCTATAGAATTTCCTCGGCTCAAATTTTCTAAGTTTTTTCGTTTGATTTTCTTGATGAGAAAAAAAGAAAAATAGAATGAAAAAAACTTGGAAAATCTGAGTCGAGCAAATTCTATAGAAAATATATGAAAAGAATAAGTTATATGGAAAATTCGCATTCTGTTGACTTTTTCTATTGAATGTTTTCTATCGAACATGTCAATACAATCAGCCAAAAACAAATAGAAAGTTTAATAGAATTTTCTAACGAATTCGATAGGTTTTTTATCAACTTTTTTCCTGCGTGTATAAAAGCTAATAAAATCAGAATCTAACTCAACTCAACAATAAAGAAACAATGGCCTTAATTGCCGTGAAACAATTATTATAAATATCGATGTAAATAACCCCATAAGGGTTCGTACTTATCGATGAAATAAAAAAATTCTAGCGAGTTCACTAGGTCTCTGCTAATTTTTTTCGTACGTATTGACTAAGAATGAAAATATTATTCCAATTTATTTTCATTTATTGTTTATCTCCTGATGAAAATGGAGCACTTTTTCGAACGAAATTCAATGAAATTCAACGAAGGGGTTCAATTAACATTTCGTGAAAGAAAAATTTCAAAAAGAACTTAGCTCAGTTTCGTCAAATGTTTATATGTGGACGTCCACATGAAAAGGGACCACTGTCGATTCTAGTTTCCGAGATATTCACGTTTTTGTCTCAGCAACTCCCATTTACACTCATGTTAAAGTGTTTTTTTCATCTGCTCCGGCGACGGCATTTTTCACCCTATGAGGATCATTTTGGGCTCAAAATGTGCGGAATGTTATAAATATTATTATTAGAGTATACATAACTCCATATCGACAAAGTGGTCCCTTTTCATGCGGACGTCCACATATTTAGTTTTTTCTTAAATTTTCATTATACTAGGTGAAGAAAAAAAATTATTCCGTATTATTGCAGAACAAAAACTGTTTCTTCTGTAAGTACATTTTATGTAAATCCTCTTATCTATCTTTAGATATATTCAGTAATAAATCACAATGTTGATAGTGATGCTATGCAACATTTGAATAATTTGTATGACCAACAAGTAACAAAATTATGAATATTCTGAATAGCATTAGAGTTAAGCTATGGATTGAAGCAAAATAAATTTGCACAGTGCTTTGCACTAGCTACGTTTGTAACGTAACATCCATGCTATCTGGAATCCTGAAGCTACGAAACAGTGATAAATGGCATAATTTATGCATGTGAGTCACGGCAGTTTTTTTTCTTTGGAATTCGATTTTTTCGGGGGGAATCGTAAACTTTGTAGCACTGCGGTGACAATGAAATTCCTCATGAAACGTATGCATCCGTGCAAAAATTCTCCATTCGAATGAATAAATATTTGGTTTATCAATGATTACAGGTTGTCAGCCAGATGCAATGTTTGATGGGTGAGAGCAGTGTCGATTACATGGCCAAATTCGCTAACTTGGCCTCGCAAATAGCCTCAGACGAGCAGGATACGTGAGTCACATGATAAATTCCTCCCGAAAATATATGATTTCTAGCATAAAAAAAAACCACATGGAAGTATTAAGTTATATCCTTGAGCCCCTGGTGCGTTTTTCAATTTTCTATACAAGCCGATTGTGATGAGCCATTGTAATATATCTCATGTAATAAAGTGTAATTACGACCATCAAACCGTCATTCGATTATCTTTATTCTCCAGTCATAAAAAAAAAGAAAATATGCTTATTCATCGACGCATGCCTCCAAACGCTGCGGTCTGAAAGCTGTGAAAACTAAAAACGAGTTGAAATAGAGGCATCATTGATAATGCGGGGACGTCCACACCCGCAGGACGTCAAACTTCCAGGAAAAAAAGGGGAGAACACAAAAAAAGCGAATCGCGAAATGCACCGACTCTCCTGAATGATTCATCACGCACGCATTAACCCAGCGAGTCTAAAGGCGACACCAACTGAGCATAGCGCTCTTCACGATTGTCATAACTGACACATACACGTATAAGCATCGTATTATCAGGTGCAATTTTCCTCGTCGGCAATTAGTCCCGGTATTTATCTCGGCTCGCAAATTATCCGCAATCTCGATGGGTATTTCTTGTCCTGTACATGTGGACAATTTGAGAACCTGGGAATTGCGTTGTTGCAGGTGAGACAGTCATAACACGATCAGAAAAAAAGCAAATCGACGGAGCAAATAATACAAATCCACCTGAATAACAATTTTTTTTTATTCGTCGACACAAAAATCGAGAACAATAGCTGAAGTTGATCGAATGAACTTGGGAATATTCTATAATGCGCATCAGCTAGATGATGATCCCACGAAGAGACATGGAGACACATCGAGCTGAATCCCTTGACCCTAAGACATTCACCCGCGTGAAGAAATATTTTTTATCTCCTCAACAGAGTCAATGATAACGGCGATAGATATTTTAGCTGCTCATGTCGAGAATCATGATAAATTTAATTCGCGTGAAATTTATCTTCAGTGATATCAATGTCACGTGGTATTTGATGATGATTGCGTCATCATTTCATATACATACTGGGCTACGTGGGGGATTGGTAAGAACCGCGGGGAAATCCCTCGTTCAAGTGTGTCTGTGTTAACATCCACTTTAACTTTGAAACGCACATACATTAATAATTCCACGTATGGGTTACCAGTGACGTAGAGACTGGCCTCAACGTGATCGCAATCACTCAGACGCGGTCTCATCCGCGTTTGAACCGTCACGCGCATCGCAGTCTCTCCGATTTTTGTTTTCAGATCGGCTTTGAAAAGTGCTGAATTTTCTCGTCTGAATTTTTGGGTTTCGCGGTTTCAGTGGTTTATCCCATTTTCGGGTTGTTTTTCTCTTTTGTGCTTTTTTATGGACATTACGCGAATGTTTTGCGACGGAATAAACGACGACATGACTTCCATCGTTGATTATCATCGGAGCGATCCGATCCAGGCAAGTTTTTCCTTGTTTACAATATGCCGATTTTCGGTGGTCAAACCATTCCGGAATTCCTATCGATGTTTCGTTCCATTTTGCAATTTTTTGGGAACTGAGGCGGGAAATCATGCGCAACAGAAGACCTCAAAAATTGTTATAATTATTTTTTGAAGCAATTATTGACCATTAATCATTTCAAACGAGCAATCGATTCAGTTCTCGTCGACTCGTCTAACGCATTTTTATTCCCCTTTCAAGCCAAGTTATTTTATTACTTGGAATCAGGTTTTGTAAATTTTCATCAGAATGCGAGGATCGTGATGTCGGAGATAATGGAGTTGATCCAAGGACAATTGGGTTGTTAATTAGTTCGATGATCGATGGATCATTGAGGCAGTGGGAATTATTGAATATCGTGTCGTGAATTGAATCTACTCGATTCCTATTGGATCAATGGTATTTTTTTTGTATCGAGAGGTTCACTATGCAATTAGTTCCTTATCGAACGTCATGTAATTACAATTTGCATCATTAAGTTCCACCGGTTTTTCCTGTACTGCAGAGACCGCATGTAGTAAATTCACTGAATGAAACGTCAATTCCATTCATCGTGACTCGTTTTGAAGTACTTTTTTCCTTATGAGAAAAAAAATCGTTGCAGGGATTCTTTCAAATGTCACCGCTGGACAATGACGATCCCTATCCGACGATTCTCGATATGGATACAACCGAGAATAAAGAATGTCCTTACAGCAAGAGAGGATGCGAGACCGCAAAAAAAAAGTTCTTTCTAGGTAATCAAAATTGTTTGAGGAAAAGACTATAAATAGAAACGAGGAAAGAATGTGCTTATCTGCTATGTTGCTACGATGTTTGATTTTAGGGGAAGAATTTGATGAGGCTGATGGTAATGCTTGGTCCACGAAACCGATTAAAGAGTGGAGCCAGGGGGATACGATAAACTGGCTAATGTCAGCAGCGTCACATATGGGGCAGGCGTATTGCTCGATTCAACATACTTTGGCCATTCCTGGAAGAGATCTTATCACATTGACTAAACAAGATTTCATATTTCATGATCGAGCTTATGGGGACAAGCTTTATGATCTCTTGCATTCACAGAGAGTCTCTAATTTTTGTAAGTCAGATAGTTAATAATTGAGTGATGATTATTAACAGTTTAAGAATCCAGGATATTGTGCATTTTCCGACAGTTAAATATTTTTATGTTTGACGGGCTCTGATGTGGCGTCATTTTTACATTGATAATTCAGTTCTATGCAAATAATGCAGACATTCGAAACGTTAAATCCCATACAATCTCAACCTAACGCCTACGTCAGGTGCACATTGTCTATTCTATTTCAGAATAATCAATTCGGGTTGGTGAAAGAATATCTTTATCAATATGAAGGAGATGACTCTGTCTTTTCTGCCTGAAATTTCAAGGAATTTTGTTATCGAAAATTCAAAATTTGATAGAAAAATTGATAGAAATCGCAAAACTTATGTAAATTCATCCTTGAATTTTCAATTGATTGAAAGTAGCGTCATTTGGTGCGGAGTATGCATATTTTGATTGAAAAATCAATCAAGTTTAGGAATTCTCTACTTCCTGCTGCTCGACAATTTTGAATTTTTTACGTTAATTCTCAGTGAAATCTAAAATTTCTCGTCTTTTTCCCTCTTAATCGTTCAAGGACGATGCCCTTTTGACACTAATCATGCCGCGCGCTGAACAGCAACGCTATTCATTCATTTCCAACAGCCCAAAAAAGATATAAAGTAATCAAAGTCAAGTGATTACTCTTCAAAGCAGGGTTTGCGCACACTTGTAATAAATGTGTGCAAACCCTGTGCGCTTTATAAATGTGTCCATGTGTGGTATGGACGTTGGGCTTGAGGGATTGAATCAAATTCAAGGTCAGGTTCCTGAAAATTAGTATTCAACTGTCCATGAAATTTCAATTTTTTTATAACACTGTATCAGGCGAACAAAAGAAATTGGTGCTTCCGGTTTTGGAAGAACATCCTTCATACAGTATAAATGGTTCAAAGAGAAATTTAAACATTGCTTTCTTATCGAGGGGTTGGTCACTTAGGAAATCACTGGACCACTCGATTGGAAATCAAGGAAGAAATAACCAGAAACCACGAGAATCAAGTGGTTTCCATTTCCGGTAGTGATTTCTAATGACTTCTGGAAATCAGCAGAATTCATAAAAAAGTTTGGTGATTTCCGAAATAATTAGAATTCATCGATGAAAGTGAAACCCAAATTATTTATTCGAGCTCACTCATACGATCCCGCCTGACCCTCATGACTTTCTTATGCATGTTATTTGATTCTTACTATCACATCCACAAGGCCCTTCTAAACTCTTTGGTTCCCCGAATCTTACTCATATGCGATCATTGACAGATACCCCACTTTGGTCCCGAAATGATGATTTTTCGAGTGATACAGTGATCGAGTGATTCAGTCCCCGTACAAGTCACTTTCTGACTTGAATGTTTTTCGTTGCTTATTCTCTGTACAAGACACGCCACAAAGGGGCTGGAATTCAGTGGTAATGGAGTTGAGACATTGCAGAAATTACTGGAAATATATGCATCTATGATCTAGAACTTAATTGCACATCAATTGAATTTCAAAACGAATAGGCGTTCGTTACAGTTAATAAAAAAATTTAACCCATCGGTCATAAAAATTGGTAAAATATATATTTTTTTACATGTATTGCGCCATGCGTTTTACGCTCATTGCCCATTTTTTAAATGGATAGATAGACAAAACATAATAAAATTCGACCCAATTTTTATGAAAACCAAAATTGCAATGAAAGTCTCAATTTTGCCTCGCAGCCCCCTATTAACAAATTAACTTATTTCGAATTTCTAAATTGTTATTTTGAAAAGCAACAATACCTTCTAATCAAACATTCGTGTTTCACATCAGGAATCGTAATCTAATGATCATAAAAAATGCAAATCGTCCAGTATCTTGTACGAAGAATATCAAATCAAAATATTTTCCCCTCTGAGCGTAAGTAAAGTGGGGGATACATAATTCTCGGAATTTTATTCCCCTACAGTCCCTGTGGTATCTTGTACGAAGATTGGACTGTATCTTAAAGTTAAGAAACAGAATCCAGAATTTAGATCCTCAGAATCTAGTAGAAATCGTGGAAATCACGAAAAATCAAAAGAAATCAAGGAAATCACTCAAGAAATCGCAGGAAATCATCCCATTCTGAAAATCACTGCACGGAAAAAAATATTCAGTAAAAATTACGAAACTTACAATTCGTCACCGATTACGGAATCGACTCAGAAAATTTAAGTGACGGTAACGTAATTTTTCACAGGAGATTCAGATAAAAATTACGGAACGCTCTGGAAAAATTCACATTTCGCTCCGGAATTACGGAAAAGATACGTAATTTTGATTAAATATTACTCTTCGTGCATGAGCCACCCAATTGAGGAGTAACCAGCCCGTTTCTTACAGATTATTAAATGTACAAAATCCATATCTTATTTCGAGCCTCTTTTGATAATTTCTCGTTTTTTAACATTCAAATAATGAGTTCATGATCTCTGTTAACAAAAAGATAATCTTCATTATTTCAGCGCCACACTTTCCATCAATTCACCAGACCTCCGAAGATGAGCGCACACACACAGGATCGTCGACTGTTTCCGGTACGTACAAAAGAAATAATAATGAAAGTTTAATTGCGAAATAACATTGATATACAGACAATGAGACGACAACGTTGAATTAACGCGCGTTAATTATGCTTTGACAAGAACAGTTGTTTCTCAATATTTATAGATGCAGAGTCTGAAGACAGTGTGGAAGTATCGCCGAAAAGGCCGGGCCCAGGCCGACCGAAGGGGTTCAAACAGAAAAAAAATTGTGAGTTTTCAGTTGATTCATTATCACATGCTAATGAATTCTCCGCCATATTCGCTCTATTTCTTATTATGTATCTTTTCAGCAACGAGTCAAGGCAAACTGTGGGAATACATTAGAGACCTTCTCAGAAATCCAGAAACCTGTCCGAGTCTCATTTGTTGGGAGGATTACTCTCAGGCCAAATTCAGGTTCGTCAGGAGCGATGAAGTGGCGAAACGCTGGGGTGCGAGGAAGGGAAATACTAAAATGACTTATGAGAAACTGAGTAGAGCCATGAGGTACATCAGACCACGTCGCATTGAATAAATTAATACCCTCTCGAAGTCGTGAAACGTCATAGATTATCTCTTCTTGTCAATATTGAAATTATTTCGATAACGAATGACTTTATGATTAAATGTCAAATAATTTCTCATGTTTGAGATCTTCTGAGCTACACAATGATCTCGTGACATTTTGTCATGAAACTGCTGATTCAAATTGCCTTCGACTTCGTGCATTCTATAGGTCCGATAGGAAATCAAAATTTAGTTTAATAGTGAAATAATTGATTAAATGTACGGGAGATTGGGGCAAAATGAAACAGTCAAAAAACGACTGTTTGATGCAATTCAAACAAAAAATTTTCCTTTTATTAAATATTTTTTTATCAACTTTTTTTTATTCGCGGGCGTACTGATGAGAGGAATTATTTTCCATTCAGCGGAATGGAAAATTCTTGAGAGGTTTTGACGGGCGAAAATTTTGTCAATGAATTAATTGAAAAGAAAATGAAACCGCAAAATCCAAAGTCCAGAGAAAGACGCAGGTTGAGACCCAGAGGGGGAAAAGGAAAATATGATGCTGAATTTCAATCGAATGAAAAAAGAAAAGTGTAATCGGCCTAATCTAATCAGGTGAATTATAATCAATTGAATTATAAGACGAATAGAAAATTATTATTCTCATCAGTACTCTCAATAATAAAAAAGTTGATAAACAAAAGTTGATACGAAACATTTTTTTCTGCTTGAATTGCATCAACTAGTCGTTTTTTGGCTGTTTCATTTTACCCCACTCTCCCCTATTCAATAGTTTTTTCTCTAGGGCAATTGGTTTTAGCGATGAATATGTTCTTTTTCAGGTATTATTACAAAAGTAAAATCTTTCTACCAGTCTTGGGACGTCGGCTAGTCTACCAGTTTGGCCCCAACGCGAAGGGATGGGAAACGGACAATCCGAACTTCCGTCGATGAATCATAAGACAGAAAAGAAGAAGGGATGAATGGGGATGCGATTCTGTTACGTTCCCTGAGCGAACATAAACACGATGTTGGGCGCTCGTTACTTACTTAAGAGTTTTTCCTCAGGAAGATACTTACCAATTCAGTTTCCACTTGAAGAATTGACAAACTGAAGCAGTGATTACGTTCAGATTTAAATTTACTATATTGTTGTTTGTCGATTTATGGAAATGATTTATCTACATAGAAGATATCATCTATTGATAACATTGGTACATCGAAATTCAGGAGCTCATGAATTTGAAATAGTGATCTTTTTTACTTTTTACATTCCTCTATTTTGAGTTACATTTCGTCTTACTTTTATCCAACAATTATTTATTGTGGCAATGCGCACATGTGTGAAAAAATTCAATAGACAAACCGCGTTTTCTCAGAGGAATTCTATTGAATTTCTCTAGGAACTTCATCAGAATTCTATTTGTTTCTTGTTGTGCCACTTCTGTTAAAAAAATTATGCAACTTTGTCCTGCGCTTTGCAATTGATATTTTTTTTATAGAAAAAAATCTATAGTTGTTGATTTTATCATCCAATTCATTCTGTTGGAATTCTTCTATAAGAATTCTTGGGCATAAATTTTCAATTTTTTTCATTTTATTATGAGAAACAAATCAAAATCCACTGGACAAAACTAAATGAAAAAATATAGTAAAAATGCAATGCCCAAGAATTTCTGTAGAAAAATAAAAATCTACCGACTTTTTTCGGGTATTACGGAAATGTGTATAATTTTCCACAGAATTGATGCAAAAAACCAATGGAATTATTTAATAGAATTTCGAGGGAATTTTTATAGAGTTTTAATAGAAATTTAATAGAATTTATTAGATAAAACACTATTTTTTTCTCTTCAATGTTTTCATACATGCACTGTCAAATTCACGACTTTCATGATGTTCTCTCATGAATTCCATGCTAAAATTCATTGCACTTATAGAGCTCGATCGGGAGGAAAATAAAAAAAAATGAAAATTTCATATAGAATGAGATTCCTGTGCTTCGTATCATTAAAATGATTAAAATTTTCATTTACACAAATGTATATTTACATGTCTTACAAAAAATAATGGCATTTACAGATAAATAAACTGATAATTTCATTTATAATGATTTTTCCACAAAGAGCATTCAACTTCACGGTGAGTTATTGCTGAATACCCTCAAGTCCCAGGGAGAAAACGAAATTTTTATAAAGAAAATTTCCGATGATACGATCCCGATATTCCCTCGAGTAAAATTGACTCAGCACATTCGATAAGAGTCTCAATCCCTCTCAATCAAATGAATAAAAACAGACCGATCAACACAGTCGTATCCCTTCCATCATTTTGTACACATTGAGCTTCAATCCAGATAATAGAAGACTTCATGGAAATCCCTCCTGCAATTGCATCTGGGAATCCCCCCATTCTCCCTCCGAATTCACTCACACCGATGTCCCCACGAATGTGTTACTAATGACGCAATGAAGGTGATTTCGACGTAATCTAAATGATTCAGAGAGGATTCAATCGCCGCCTTTAAATAATCACGCGCCTCGCGGGCTCGCTTACTTTTTCCTCGTTGGGTGTAAAGTGATCATTCCATCCTTCTGCACTCCTTGCGGCTTCTTGTCTGCATAAAAAATCTAAAGATTCAATTCAATTCGTTCAGCCGTTTTAACTATAAAATCGTCATGTCTTACCAAGCAGCGAACGATGAAATGAGTGCCATCGATAATTATTTTCTGAGCGATCCAATGCAGGCAAGTTTTTCCTTGTTTAGAATATGTTGATTTTTAACTACTTCTATTTCGCTAGGTCGGTGATTACTAGACTTTTCCTCATTGACAGATCTCCCGTTAGTGAGTTGAGTGGTGTTTCTGCGGTTGCGGGGTTCAAGATAATGCGTAGATCGCAATAATCAGTTGTTGTTTGTTTTTTTATTGACAGCTAGTTGTTTTAACGAGTGAATGTTTCTCTCTTTGTTTTTTCAACTACGGCTTTCGGTTAGATAACGAGTTTTTTGAGTTAAATTTATAATTCTTCGATAATTCTGCAGCGAAGTGATGAACTAAAGTTAACGGGAAACTCTAAATTTTAGAGGACTAAGAAATTTGATAGCAGACGTAGTCTCGATAAATGCACTTATCCTAGTTGACCATTTCGCTGCAGAATTGTGGGGTTGATCGCTGTGGCAATAAAAATGTGGCTATTCTGTGGAAGTGCAGTAGAGAAAAGTAACAAAAACAACGTTTTCCGTACTGTTCTTCATCTTTCCTTAGACGAAGACTGACACTGGTTCTTCCCGAACCTCGCAAAGGTGAAAATCTCTGCGGAAAAATATCGTTCATGACTACTGCCATGGGGCTTTTCTAACTTTATACGCGTAAAAAAAACTCATGACATTCGTCCTGAAAAATACAATTTTGTTGACCAGCAACTGACACGGAGGAAAAAAATAAATCCAGGGAAAATTTTCAAGTTGGGTGCGTTTCAGCAGCTCTTGGGTACGTGGACTTTTTTTTCCTGATCTATTTTTCGCCTATCAAACTCACTGCACCGAAAAAATTCATAGAAATAAAAGAAAAAATTAGTGATGCAGTCGAGGAGAGTCGAGAATTATGTTAAAGAGATCATCACGGTCTGGAAAAACATCGAAAGTTTTGAAATCGTCGCAATCTCGAACGACATTAGATCGGTGCATCTCGTCACAATTCCGGGAGGATTTATTTTGCCTGGATCTTGAAATTTTCAGTTTTTTAAGTTCACGAGACGAGACGAGTCAGATATCGAGACAAACATTTGAAAAACAGAAAATACTGAAACTCAGACGTGATGGATTCTTCAAAGTTTGTGACGAGATGCACCGATCCAATGTCTTTCAAGATTACGACGATTCATAAACTTTCGGTGTTTTTTTAGACCGTGATGATCTTTCCAAAATAATTCTCGTCTAGTCTCGACGGCATCACTAGAAAAAATCGCATGAATATGAGGAAAATACTACTCTTAGGGGAGTGTCGGGCAAAATGAGACGTTTCGTGATCTTCTCTAATTGTCAATATCTTCACTTATAAATGAAAGTATTGACAATTGGAAAAGATCTCACTACGTCCCATTTTGCCCGACCGTCTCTTATTTTTCCCTGACGTTTAAGGGGATACGTCGGTGAAATTTAAAACTTCAGTGGGCCTTGCGACCCATTGAACAGTTGCGATATATGACGGAATATGGGAATAACTAGGGAAAATCGCGTACTGGATCGATTTTGCCGCGTATAACCACGACAAACTTCATTTTTTCCTGTTTTTACCTTCAAAATGCTCTTTGCCCCGTAGTTTTCATACGATTTTAATTTTTTTTCAAATGTTCGTTACCCTCCAAACCATAAAGTTAAGCATCCATTTTACTTTATTCGCAACAGATCATGAATAAAAAAATTTTGAATTTCATAAATTTAACTCTACTCTGCAGACGCAAAAAATTTATGGAATTCAAAATTCATTTATTCATGATCTATTGCGAATAAAGTAAAACGGATGCTTAACTTTATTCTTTGGAGTGTAACGAACAAAAAAAAATCGTATGAAAATTACAGCGCAAGGAATATTTTGATGGTAAAAACAGGAAAAAATGAAGTTTTTAGTGGTTATACGCGGTAAAATCGATCACGTTCCGCAATTTTCCCTAGTTATTCCCACATTCCGTCGTATATCGCAAACTGTTCAATGGGTCCCAACGCCCAATGAAGATTTTTAAATTTCACCGGCGGATTTTTTTTCAATGCACTTGAAAGAGCAATGATTTCCGGTGAAAAAATTGAGGTGTTTTGATTCGTAGGGATTGAAGATGTTGAACGAGTGATTCAATCCACTGGCACAATGTAATTAACTACATAATCACAGTTTGTTAGAGTCGCGTTATAAGAATGTATAAAAGAGAGAATAAGAGATATTAGATTGATGTGATCGAGTGTCCGAATCGTACTCTATGTGCCGATTGGTGAGTGACGTTCGCCTGCAGAATCGAAATTCATATTCGAAAAGGTGTACACGCGGGACGTGTTGTGTGTAAACTCGTTTGTCTTTGTCTTCAAGTCGAGAACAGTCAACGCGTGTTTGTATGGGCCATTCCAATAAAAATCGTAGGCAAATCCAGCCTCAAAATTTTAGAAAATTTTTTCATTTGTTTCATTTGAATATGTATGCATAAAAAAGAAGATTCCTTAACTAACAGAGGTACCACGGTTTAATTTAACATGCTCAATAATTTCTAATAAAATTAAAAATGTAGTTTCCAATCGGAAATTTTCTAAATTTTCTGAAACTGAAAAATGGGACTTCATACGTCGATTTAGGCCTGTTCGCCGTTTTTGCTTCCGAATGCAATATCAATATTTTTTAATGGTTCACTCGGATGCTACAGAGTCGGAAGGAAAATAAAAATTAAGAAATTAATAAGTCAAAAATCGATTTCGACGTTGTTAACAAATGAAAATGCAAATTCTTTCAATAAAAATAGGTTTATGATGAATAAAAAATATAAATAAATTATTGAATCATGAGAAATAAATTTTCGAATTATTTACTTTTTTCCTCATTTTCTTTCCGACTCTGCGGAATTGGGGACGCTATAAATCGCTGCGAAGTCTGGTGGGTATCGTCTGCACTAAGAAAAATGGCCGTTCGATGGTTTATCGTTGGTACTTTAATCAATTACTTTACAAATCCTCAAGTTTCTCTAAAAAATGACAACATCGGAACTTCGAGTACAACAATAAAAAACAATATAGAAACGAATGAGTTGAAGAGAAACTACTACTGTCAGCTATAGTGTGAGGGTTTGAACCAGTTTAAACGGGTAAACCATCGGTCGTCCATATGTTATCAAGGCGATCACCACGCTACCATCGGTAAATAGCGGTCCCAATACGAGTGAACAATTTTGAAATATGATTTCAACCTGAAATTTTCTGAATCTGCCGCAAAAAATATTACATTAGGAGGAAAAAATGGCGAACAGGTTAAAATCAAGGTTTGGCGATTTATTTCTGGATTTGAAAAGTCTTTGAGGCGTGAGGGGATCTCATTTTTTTTCTCTTTTGATCGGTTCTACGATACAATTCCCGAAAACTATTTGATAGATGATGAAATTCTCTACAGGAATGTTTTTCCTCTCACATTCCGCCGTTGTAACTCATTCTCGGGATAATATCATAATTAGTAAGGAAAATTTAGTGAAGTTTAATAGTGTTGGATATAAAATTTGAATGAAATATATCAGACATATTTGTTCATTTTACCGACTGTAATGGTTAGGTGGGTGAGGTGTTGCTCCGGCGGACATCCAAACTAAGCAGCATTGAGCTGGGAGCTAGGAACACCTCGCTCGCACAAAAATTACGGGCGGTAGGCACGGTGTAGCGGCCTAGTGTCTTCATCTAGTCAGTGTGACAGATGGATACATTAGGGCACTGCACAATCGGCCGGCTGTGCAACTGGGGTTTTACATGGTTTTCCGTGCAGTCCTAGCTCGAATGGAGCACAGCTAAGAGTAAAACGGCCATGATACAGCAGATAATAATGAGAGGAAAAGTAAAGGAGGGGAGGCAGACTAGAGGAGGGGTTTCAAATCGAGAACTACTTCGATAAAACCAATGAAATAGAAAAAAAAATAATAATATTTGTTCATTTTAATAAAAAATAAGAGGCGATTGAAATAGTCGTATTCCGACGTCACGTCCCTATACAAAGCATTGTAACGTCACAATGGCAGGTTTTTCCATTGGCTACAATTTTCCTATATAATTATTTGTTAGAAGGCAGGTTTAAACGCAATAAAAGGTACACGGGTTTATTTGGATATAAACACTGTATTTATTGATACAACTCGTCTCGCGTCTCAATGTAGAATAATGGTCTCACACATGTTACAAGTTGTAAGAGAGGAGGTCCGCGCATGCGCAAGATCTAATGTTCTCATAACGAATATATGTCATACCCAAGGGCCTAAGCCCAGTGGGACCGGGAGCTGGCGCCACCTTTCCAACCCTCCCTCCCGACTGCTTCCGAGTCATCTCACCTCAACCGACCTTGGCTCACTTCAATGTTTAATTACTCTTCTGTCCTAAATAAATCGCAAGACCCATCTCTGTAAACCGTCTTAGAGATAGTAAGTTAGCCTGAAAAGCCTCAGCAAATATAACCTCATCTACTTCAAATTTCTCACCGTTTAACAATTCGATCTCTACCTGACCTACTCCCTCCATTTTCAAATCCGCTTGTTTATTTTTATTCGCGCATTTGATCACACCTTTACTCTATTCATCGAGGGACTTAAAGATTAGTTTAGAATTAGTTAAGTGCTCCGTAGCACCTGAATCTGCTAAAAATTCAGTAATGAATTTGTCTTTGTCAAGACAAACATCTACGTGCATTATCTGAATTTCACAAAGCTCATCATCCGCTTTCAAGTACGCTTCTATCTCTTTCGAATCTAACTCACCCTTATCTTTGCTGTCTCCTCCTGAGGTTTTGCCAGAGCCCTCCTTGTTTTGCTTCGTACTGGTCTTAGGCTTCGAGTACTTGTTATCTCCTTTGCCCTTCGGATTGTAGTATTTCCCCTTTTGGGCCATTCGCACCTAAATCCTGAATTTCTCTTCTTTAAACCCCCACCACGTCCAAATCCACGAAAACTACCTCCACGCGAACTGGTGTGTCTTATATTAGATTTAGGTTTATTATTTGTTTCACCTGGGTTTGGGCATTCCCTGATGGTGTGCCCGTAACCTTTGCAACCGTAGCAAAAGTTGCCCTTGCCCTTCCCTGGACAGTTGCGACCGAGGTGCCCGTAGTCACCGCATTCAAAGCACCGTTCTTTGAATCCGACGAGGTTAGCGGCTCTCACCTCACCGCTCCCCTCGCCAGACTGCTTCCTCGACGCTTTTTCCTGCATAACCACTAGTTTCAATTGTTCATAAGTGGGGGGCTGCTCACCTTTGAGTTCGGCTGAGGATTGTAGGAAATGTACCATAGGTACAGATCCCATGATGGCATTATTAAACGCGTCCCTCTTGTTCTCATCGGATAAAGGGGTTGCATCTGAGGAGTTTTCATATGTTCGAATCACCTCTTCAAATTTCTTACAAAACTCAACTGCTGTCATTTTTCCAATCACATACTGCATATTGGAGATTTCTTTTCTCACCGTAAATGAAGATACATTAGTTTCGTATCTTTTTATCTCTTTGAGTTTATTTCGCCTCACTTTGACTCTTTTCTTCTCGCCTCAGATTTTCCCATTGTCTTTTGACAAGGTGTTCAATTCTCGCCTGTAATTTCTCATTTTCATCTAAATTATGGCCATCCTCTAGTAAATCTGACCCATTTCTCACCTTTTTACCGGGGTCCTCAGCATCAGCCCTCCTCAGGCGTCTCTCCATTCCCTAATCAATACGGGAAAGCCTCTCATCTCGATAGTTCCTTTCCTCTCTCGCCACTTTTCTCATTTTCTTGACGCTGTCTAGTAACCAGCCACTCGTGTTTGATTGGATGTTCATGATTTTCACGAGTATACTAGTCACAGCGTCAAGCTTTGAGCACACCGATTCCAGCCTGCCTTCCACTGGAATTTCAGTTCTTGATTTGTTCACGTGGTCTTTTATTAGATTTATCGGGTGGTTTTGTGATGTGGACTTTATTTCAACTTTAGGTTCCACATACTCGATTTTTGAAATCTGGGGTTTACTTTTATGTGCTTTGAGAGCCTCGATCACTGGTGTTTGTTCCGCACCCTATTCAGCCGACACATCTTTATCCTCACCATTCTCACCATCCCCATTATTCTCACCATCCTCACCGACCTCATCAGCCTCATCAACTTCATCGTCCTCATTGACCTCACCGATCTCGCCTGTGCTCTCCTCACACACCTCAGCAGTGATCGTGGGTTGCTTCTCATAAATTCTGGGCATGATGGGAGGTTAATTGGCCAGGAGCTTCTGCTCATGCCACTCCACCAGTAGTCTCCACTGGTTCTCTGTCATCATGCTTTTGGCTATTGTGATAAATAGAATCTATGAATATTAGTATTATCATTTGTATATTGTGCCCTTTCACCAACCAACCGAACACCAGTATAGTCAGCTTCAGTACAGCCAGACACAGACGAGATATGAACACAATATCCCCTCTATTACCGAAAGAGCTGATCAATTTCCACGCACTGCAGACAAGAACGCTTCCACTAATCACCTCTTTGGAGCAACCAAACTTCAGATTTTATTCTGAATTTTCAACTAGTATTTTTGTTGTATTTGGTCATTTTCAGTGCTTAGTTAATTTGTGATTATATTTGGTAGCTAATATTCTCACAAGCACTTTGATCGCATGCATTTTTCATCGTAACTCTCCTTTTTAATTCATCTCAACTCACCAAACTTATAACACTTAATTGTGTCTGTTCATATTAACACGGTCTCCTCTACTAACTCGAGGACGACGTCCTCTCCTTTATGGAGTTCATCAAATCCAAAGAGGAACGTTCATTGCCTCCACAGCTCCCACAAGTCGTCACCTGTGGTAATTTATTTATTAGTTTGCTGATTTGGGCTTGTTTTTATTTTTGTGCACTCTCACCTTATTTGTATTTCGCATCAATTTCAAATTTGAATTTAGTTTTACCGCCGGTCGCAGTTGCGATGCGCGCGCGCTGGCGAAGAGCCGCGTGACCCCTTTCGAGCTTTGCGTGTGCTGCTTATAATCCAGTCAATCTAGATCTCTCAAACATTGATTATATCAAGTTGGGCTCCCGTGGATAAAAAGTATACCAATGGGTAGCTGGAGGTCCCCTTATTAACATATCAAAATGTATCTGCACAATTTTTTCGGCGCGATTAGTAATAAAAAGCTAGCGAACATTGGCACAAAGCGAATTTCACATGACTTTTTCTCGTATCTCACTAACTCGACCGAGAAGATAAAAATATGACAATAAAGAGAAGAAAATCGTCTATCGAATCCATCGGATAACATCCTTAAAATGCACCGTCAATTTTTTACAAATTTTTAAAGCTGTTTTTGGACAGTTTTAGGTTAAAGTGTCTACTATACACAAGCCCCGCCCATTGTCCGTCGGGCCCGCATTACGTCATACGCGCCATGCGCAATAACATTTAAACTCCCGCTGCGAGCTCCTGTGACGCAGTTTCAATTATTATTTTTACCTTTATTTTTCTATTGCTTTATTCTCGATTCTCGGAAAAATACCTGATTATTGTAAGCGTAAATATGAGTAACAAAAAGTGATCAAAATTATAAAAGATTTTATTGAAAATAATGGAATGAATCACATGACAATAAGACTTCGAGAAATTGTTTTCATTTCCACCTTATAATAATGGATTATATGACGAGAATTCTAAATTTCACCCCTCATTATCTCGTACCTACAAGCGCAGTGTACTCCGCCCCCTGGCCCTTCTATCTTGGCGAGCACGGTGAGGGGTCGGATATTTTGCCCACGCTGGTGAACTCCTGAGGAAACCCATTACATTGAAATCCAGGTACCCGGCCGTTTTCGGAAATATCTCCAAAGCTTATATAGAGCACACCCAACTTTGGCCTACTGTGAAATATCCTTGGATATTTTTTTCTTTACTTGAACCCCCCCCCCCC